TGGGTTGCATTTGCCATCCTCTGAGGCTGAGAGAGTGTGACTCACCCATGGTCACCCAGTGGGTTTGCATGGCTGAGCGGGGATTTGAACCCTGGTCTCCCAGTGTCTGTCCAATAAACAAATCACTACATCATATTGCCTCCTGCTGCAGATTTCTAGTGGGAGAGAATTCCAGTATCTTGGTGACACTCTGTGTGTATGTGTGTGTGCGTTGAAATACTAAATAAAAACCAATTGCCAGCTTGGTGGAGATTTAGTGGAGGCAGGAGGCTAGGCAGAGTGAATTCTGAGCATCATTCAGTTCTCTGCTTGCACAGTAATACAGTACATCACGTTCCAGCGTTCCAGCACAGAAGAGGGGAAATCAGAGATGTGTGCATCTACATCACAGCTTCTGAGCTGAAAAGCAAGAGCAGACTGTCCAACCAGGAAGAGCTTTTGGAATTTCTGCAGTGTACGTTTACGTGCATGTGTGCCTTCACGTCGCAAACCCATGAATTTCACAGGCTTTTCTTAGGTAAAGAATATTCAGAGGTGGTTCTGTCATTTTCTCCCTTGGAAATATAGCCGTTGTGCCTAATATTAATTGGCGGTCTCTCCCATCGAAGTATTAATTAAGGCTGATCCTGTTTAGCTTCCAAGATCAGGTAGGATCTGGTGCCTTAAGGGTATTTAGGACCAATATTTGCAGTGAGACTTTTTAAATTTCTGAATGCTTCCCCAGATTTTACCAGTCATGCTCCACAAGGGTCAGCTGAAGGATAATTTCAGCAAAGGCTGAGGGATTCTGTGGTTTGTAGCTCGGCCATAAAACCCACTGGATGACCTTGGGCAAATCACATACTTTCAGCCTCAGGGGATGGCAATGGCAAACCGCCTCTGAGCAAATCCTGCCAAGAAAACCCCATGGGTCACCCACCATAAGTTGGAAATGAATTGAAGGCACACAATAACAACAAGTCTAACAAAGTGATTTTTCCAAAACTCATGGGGTAAGGCATTGGAAATATAG